TTGTCAACTTGAAGGCTTGTGGACTTCAACTCCCAGAATTCCTCGCAGCTTGAAGACTTGTCAACTTGAAGGCTTGTGGACTTCATCTCCCAGAATTCCTCGCAGCTTGAAGACTTGTGGACTGTGCTGGGTAGAGAATTCCGGGAGTTGAAGTCCACAAGTCTTCAAGTTGCCAAGTTTGGAGACCTCTGAGCTAGAAGCATGTGGGTTCTTAAGTGAGGACCTCACAGGATTGTGACTGTCTGCCAGCTTGCCCGTTCTTTGCTTGTGGGAAACCGGCAAGGAACATCTGAAATCATGATTAAGTGACCCTGGGACTCTGCAAAAGTTGGAACTCAGAAGTATCACTCGTTCAGAGCCATCCTACCTTTGAATGGTTGCTGAATGAACGGTTCTAAGTCAACAACGAATGTCCCTGACAGTTCGCTTAGTTGACCATTTGAAGTTACAACGGCACTGGTAAAGAGAGACTTATGACCAGTTTTCACACTTACGACTGTGGCAATGTTCCCATGATCCTGCGATCAAAAGTTTGGGCCCTTGCAACTGTGATCACCATTTGTAATCAACCGAAGTGAGGGAGGAGCCAGATTCACTTAATGACCTCATGATTCGCTGAACAACCGCAGTGAGTCACTAAAGCACTGGGGCAAAAGACCATAGATTAGATTAACAAGAGTTGGAAGGGACCTTGTAGGTCATCTAGTCCGACCCCCCCCTCCGTCCAAGCAGGAGACCCTACACCATTTCTGACAAAATGGCCGTCCAGTCTCTTCTTGAAAGCCTCCAGGGATGAAGCTCCCACGACTTCCGAGGGCAACTTCTGTTCCATGGGTTGATTGCTCTGTCAGAAAAACGTCGTAAAGTGAGGCAAACTTCACTCACTTAAGCAACGCAAATTTGAGGTTGTTTGTTATCCGTAGAAGACTACCTTTGATGTGTCAAACAAGCTTCAGGGGCCCCTGTTTGATTGACAGGGATTGGCCTAGAAGGTCCCTTCCAACCCTGTTATTCTGTTAAAGTTCTTTTTGTTCAGAAAAAGTTTTTTTTTTTAATTTTTATAACAAAAACAAACAAAACCATCTTTCAGTTTTCCAGCGTTGTCGGTTGGGTACATATACCTTGTGCCCATAACAATATCATACATTTCTTACTTAATTTGTAATTATAACCATTCTAATCGCTATTTTATATCACACTGGTCAATCGTATTATCGTTAACCTATAATTATTCTCTTTCAAAAGTATATTCCATCCTTGCCTAAGTTACATTCATTCTCTTATTCAATCCTAATCCATCAGTTATTTTATTGCTATTATCACATATTCAATTTCTTACTCTTCTGTCTATCTATTCATGTTAATAAATTCTAAATCTTATAATACACGTTTTCTTCCTGCTCTCTTTTAAAATTCTGTTTAAAGACAGGCAGGTTCTCTTCTCTTGCTGATTTACAAGTTGGTGGGCTTTGGGGTGGAGGGGCAGCTTCTCTTCCGTAGTTTAGGTGACTTCCCTCCCCTCTTTCTTTCCTTAAGGACTTGGTTCCTTCTTTTAAATAACTCCCTGAAGAGATCTTTTAGAGAAAAGATCCCTGGCTTCCGCCTAGTTTCCACAGGGCCCATCCCGTTTCTCTCCTGTGGGAAGGGTGGAAGTGTGACTTGAGAGTCAGGGGAGGCTAGAAGTGTTCGGAAACTGAGGCACTGGAGACTAAAACATACGATGAACGGTTGCAGGAACTGGGCCTGACTAGTCTAGTGAAGAGAAGGACCAGGGGAGACAGGATAGAAGTCTTTCAATATTTGAGGGGCTGCCACAGAGAGGAAGGGGGTCAAGCTATTTTCTAAAGCACCTGCAGGCCAGAAAAGGAACAATGGATGGAAACTGATCAAGGAGAGAGATTCAACCTGGAAATAAGGAGAAATTTTCTGACAGTGAGAACAATCCACCAATGGAACAGAAGTTGTCCTCGGAAGTTGTGGGAGCTTCATCACTTGAGGCTTTCAAGAAGAGATTGGACTCTCCTCTGTCAGAAATGGTGTAGGGTCTCCCGCTTGGGTGGGGAGGGTGGACTAGATGACCTACAAAGGTCCCTTCCAACTCTGATGATCTGTTATTATCTGTCTTTTGTCCCCCTACAGAACGCCAGAAAAAGCATCTTTGGCTATCGACCGTAGGTTTTTCCCTTCAGGGATCGTCTTGTCTCAGTTTGGAGAGATTCCGGCTCGTCCATTGCCGCACAAATTCCATGGCCGACAGAGAGGTGCCCCGGACGGGATTCAGCCTGCAGTTGCAAGCTGCTTTGGAGAAGTGGATGCAGCCGGGGTTCAAGAGGCAGGATCTGGGCCGAGCGGCTTCCAAATCGGGCGAGGAGTTGGAAGGAGACCGGAAGAGCTGCAGAGGGCCCGAGGGAGCAGAGCAACTGGTCAAACAGGAACCGGACGTGGTCTCTCAGCAGTGGGAAGCCCAGTGGCAGGAATTCCTGAAGATGTCTGAATCCCAGCAGCCCTGGGGTTTTGTGTCCCTGGTCCAGGAGGAGCCGCCCCCCTGGGATGACGCCAAGGCCTTCCTGGCTTCCTTCGAGCAGGTAGCCGAGGCCTGCCAGTGGCCCAGGGAGGAGTGGGCATCCCACCTGTTGCCTGCCCTCCGAGGAGAAGCCGAGCGCGCCTATTGCAGCCTTGGAAGCGCCGAGCGAGAGGATTATGGGAAAGTGAAGGCGGCCATTTTGCACAGGGACGCCCTCGGCCGCGAGAAGCTGCGCCAGCACTTCCGCCGCTTCTGCTACCAGGAGGCCGAGGGCCCACGGGGGGCGTACAGCCGTCTGCAGGAGCTTTGCCATCAATGGCTGAAGGTGGAGCACCACTCCAAGGAGCAGATCCTGGAACTGTTGATCCTGGAGCAATTTTTGGCCATCCTGCCGCCCGAGATCCAGAACTGGGTCCGTGGAAACAGCCCCGAGACTTGCATCCAGGCGGTGTCTCTGGCTGAGGACTTTCTGCAAATGCAAGCGGAAGGTCACCAGCATCAAGAACAGGAGGTAAGTCGACCTTCTTTGCAGTATTATGACCCAGACCGAACAGAATCATGAAACAGACACCTTGTCCTGAAAAAAAAACCCTTTTAATTTGGTTAATGTGAATTCCTGGCATTCACACACCCAGAAAAGTTCCGGCAATAATCCTGCAAGAACAGGCCTTATCAGTCCTTGGATAGTTGCCAGGCTGGGAGCTTCCGGTCGCAACGCTGTAAATTAATTCCTGACAAGGAGTCTCTGAGGCACAAACCACGATAAGCCAATCTTCATCATAATAAGTGAACTAATGGTCTCCTACAACCACCATTCCCCTTTTGCTTCTATTTATTCCCCAGGGAGGGGTCATTCAGCGTCCACGTATGCCGTTCTTTCTTAGTTGGCCTCTGTTCCTTAGTTGTTCCCTTCTCCTGACAGCTCTGCGCATACGCCCATCTGGAATAGGCTCCAGCTGTTCTTCTTCCACACTTATCTCCAACTCCATAGGCAGCTGGGAAATGTCGGATGGCCCTGGCCTCATCTCTGGGTCTGACGCAGAACACCCGTTAGAGCAGGGGTAGTCAACCTTTTTATACCTACCACCCACTTTTGTATCTCTGTTAGTAGTAAAATTTTCTGTAACCGCCCACCGGTTCCACAGTAATGGTGATTTATAAAGTAGGGGACAAAACCCTTACCGCCCACCATGAAAGCTGGAACGCCCACTAGTGGGCTGTAGGGACCAGGTTGATTACCACCGCATTAGAGCCTTCCCCAGACACCAGGACTGGCCAGAGTTCCTCCCCAGCCTCCTCACTGTCTGAGTCCGCCGCCAGCGCTGCTGGTAGCTGGTGGGGCACAACACCAGGTGTGTGACACAAGAGATACGAGTCAAATGTTCAGGACAGGCAGCTGCGCCCTCAAAAGAATTCAGGGCCTGGCGGAACGCCGAGTCCAGAACCTGCCATTACCTAAAGTGGTTCCAGGATATGCCAGCCCTTCCACTTAATCTAGACCAGAAGTCTCCAACGGTAGCAACTTGAAGACCCCTCTTCCCCATCTCTCTCCCCGCCTTGTTGAAACAGATGTTTTCTCCTGTTTCCAGGTGCTCAAGGAAGTGAGGGATGCTGCAGAGGATTGTGGGAAGGGACCACTGTTCAGGGAGGCTAATCATGAGGGGAACTCTGGAGATGCCGGTGAGTGATACAAACGGACGAGTTAAAGCCAGTTGGTCAAATACTTGGATGCGGCGCAGTTCCTTTGGGGTGGATATTTTCATTCCATCCCTTCCTTTCTTCAGCTCCCTTCCCATTACTATCCACCTGCCAAACGGCTCCAAAACATTTTCTTTAGCTGATCACCTGGCGTTGCCCGGGTATTTATTTATCCTAAACCTGTATTAGATAGGAAAAGCCTTGATTTCGGCAATCCGGAAGAAACGTAATTTCTAATGTTGGATCTTCCCCGTTACCAGAGAGAGCCCCCTTGTGGAGTACTGTGAAGCCGTTACCATGGCAACTCCACAGCGCTGTACAGTAGAAGCCATTTTAAAGCACAACTGGCTGTATCTTAACAGACCACAAGAACACAGACACCCCCGAGGAGTGTTAGGGGTGTCTTACCCCCATAGTATATATTTTTTTTCAGAGATTAATCAATATGTCAAGTTTGGTTGAAATTGCTCAAGGCGTTCCAGAGATATGCTGAAAAACACACATACACACACACTTCTATATATATAGATTTGGGATTATTATTATTTTTTTCATTTCTCCCATAGGTGAAGGCAGTAGAGGCATTGACAAAATTGAGAAATACACGCTGGAGAATTCTGAGCCCGAAACATCACACGAGATGCTCAGCGGGAGAATGGAAGCGCAGGCAGCTCAGTTCGGTGAACAGGAAAACCTTTCCCAAAGCCAAGATAGACTCATCTGGCCGCAGAAATTCCTTCCCAAGGAGATGGGCAATAGCGCCGTTCCTTGCCGAGGAAGTTACAGGGAGCTTGGCCAGTCCAAGACGCCCATGGTTAAGAAGTACGCGGCCTCCAGCGTCATCGCCAGGAGTTTCTACCATAAATCAAACTTCACTAAGCAAAAAAAAATCCACCCGGGGGAAAAAACCTACAGCTGTTTGAATTGCGGGCGGCGATTCAGTCGCAGGTCGAATCTTAAACGCCACGAGGGGATCCACACGGGGGAGAGACCCCATGAGTGCTTGGAGTGTGGGAAGAAATTCACTCGGAAGTCTTACCTCCTTAAACACAGCACTGTTCACATGTACGGAGGATCGACTTAGCGGTTAGGGAGAAAAGTGGTGGCGGATAGAAAAATCGATAACTGTGTGGCGAAAACGAGTCAGAAAGGGGGATTTGATTCTCCTTCAGATCTTGATTGTTCTCAGGGAGCATCTATTGCCGGCTACGTTGGGAATCCTGGGAAATACTAAGGTCTTGGGAAAATGTTAATTTGGGATACACAATATGGAGGATCCCTCCAGAGTGTCATAAAAAAAATTTTTTTTGGGGGGGGAGGGAACTCATCGTTCACAAGAGGGAGGGATTACACAAATCTTGATTAGATGCCAGTCTGTTTCCACCTCATTCCTTCTTGAGTTACAGGATGCCGTAACTCGGTTCCAAGACCATTATTATTTGGGATTTTGCTATTTGTTTTTGGGGGGCTATTTCGCCTGTTAAAACAGAAGACGTATATGCCAAAGCTTAAATCTGAACGTCTTTGGAAGGCTGAAAAGTTTCTATAGAACAGCACAGAAGATCTTAAATATAACTGTAATAAACTTTGAATTCCATCAGCAGATCAGTCCACGAGGAACAGCTGCCAGGCAGAGAAGCTGTTCCTCGGAGAATTAGAAATGCTCCAGCATCAAATCTGAGTGTTCCAAATCCACTCGTAATAATCTGAGCAGATTGGTTACTTCCAACATGATAAGAGGGCAGTGGTGTCAAACTGGTGGCCTCCATGGGCTGGATGCATTACGTGGCGCCCATGCCCGCTCTGGCTCCGCAAAGGCAAAAAAAATGTCACAATACGTCACGGGATGTCATCAAGTTTGACACCTATGATATACGGAATGAAATTCCCCTCCCCCATCCCCCCAATAGCCATTTTACCTGTATAGTTTTTCCTTGGTGGTTTGATCTATTTCAATGGTTCTGAACCTTGGCAAATTTAAGATGTGCGGGTGGCAGACATCTTAAAGTGGCCGACATCCAGAAATGCCGGTTTATTCGATTCAATTGATACGATCGCCTTCCTTTCCCCAAGTGAATGGCTCATAGTGTTAAAAACACAATAATATCCACCCCCACCCCAAATCCAGGTCAGGAAATCATGACCGAAGAAAACGCATCGAAACTTCTGTGGCGCCAGGAGCAAACTTCACCAGAAGTATATTAATGCATCCGAAGAGCTCCAGGGCTGTTTTGTTCAATTTGTGAGGGAAAAACCAGGTTTTTGGGGGGTATCCTAAAGGCTGTGGCAGAGCTGGGAATCACGTGGTTGTCAAAATCAAGATGTGGATTTGGGAAAATGCTCCTTCGCAGAAGAGCCTCTTTGAAGAAGAAAATCCAGTTAGAACTTTTTGAGGAATGGTGGTTCTTCACCCCTGTCTGGTTTGGGGGAGCTCCTTATTTGAGACGCTTGCAAGGACGCCCAACTGGGTCTCCATGGATCAATGTCCAGCTCGAATTCCCAATCCAGCCCCTCTCCCCACTTTCTACTATTCCTGCCGGCCCTTTTAAAGCAGCGTTTTTCACCTTTGCCTCATTTTAAAATGAGTGGACTTCGACTCCCAGAATTCCTCTGCCAGCGTGGTTGACTGGGGGAATCCTGGGAACGGAAGTCCACGCGCATCTTTAAAGTCGCCAGACTTGAGAAACACTGCTTCAGAAAGCTCCCAGCTGTCTTCTGCTTTCTCCATCTCTCTGTTCAGAGCCTGCTAGATGTAAATCCACCTTTCTTTTTTTTTTTCCCCCATGCACACACATTAAACTAAAAGCTTGCAGTCTAATTGTAGTTGTTTTAAGTAATTATCGCCCCTCTTTAGAGAAGTTATTCTCCTTTTATTTGCCGGAAATAAACCCGGGCAGGCAGTATACCTGAATTTTATTTTATTTTTCCTGTTCCTGGCGTGGGTTCAGGTAAGGGTATGAAAAAGGTTGCATGATTACCAGGGTGAAGTCAAAAAAAAACCAGGGAATTTTTGAGCTGGTCTTCTGTTCCCAGAGCTACTGCGGGCCCTTTTGAAGTCTTGAAAAAAAAGACAGTGAATGTAAAGATGCCTTTAGTGGAATTGGGATGAATAAAGTTCTCTAAACAACCATGCCATTTTTTTTTTCACTTGAGTTAAATCACTTGCTATCAAGATTGCCTGTTCTAATGGATCGCCCAGCTTAAACCGAAAGATTAACTTAATCTTAACAGTCAAACAGTTAAAAAGAAGAAGAAATTCTTGTCCATAGATCTCTCTTGTGGGAATCCAGCCATTGTTTAACTGCATCGTAGCAATTGGGCCGTTATCTTAAATCAGTGTCAACTTTAACCTATGTGGACTTCAACTCCCAGAATTCCCCAGCCAAGCTATGTTGGCTTGGCTGGGGAATTCTGGGAGTTGAAGTCCACATAACTTAAAAGTTGCCAAGGTTAACGCTGCCTTAAAACAATAGGCATAGCATGCTATATGAACACAAGTGGTTTGTTACTGAAGATCGAAGATTATATGTAATGTCTGAATGTAGCCATTGGGAAAGCTGAGAGTGGAAGGATAAAGGAACAACAGGAGTATCTTAAACATTACCATTTAGCAGAGTGATCTGCAACACAAGTTTGTAGTGTAGCAATTCAAAACTGGCCAAGCTTAAATGTCAGGATTCCAGCAGTTACTCCCGTTTAAATCATGAGTCTTGAGCCAAACTTCTAAAACTTCAAAAGGATTTATTGGGAGTTAACATGTCCGGCACTGCCTGGGTGTAGCCAACTCTGAGACACATCATTCATTGCCACTTTTGACCCTGGTTTTCCTCCCACCCCGAGTGTATCGTAATTCATATTCTCCAATGGGACACATCCATAGCCCAGAGTCATCAGTCATGCTTTCCAGTTAGACTTTTGCACAACAGAAACTTCAGTCACCTAGTTACGAACTTGGAAAACTATGGAATGCAATTTTGGTTTCCAAGCTGCCGCACTGCTCTTTCCCCCTTCCCTTTCTGTTGTAACTCTAAAACAACCATAGAAATATTTTATGAGTTGACGCAAGCCTTGTGTTCCCGCAGGCCATGTGGGCAGCGCGGCCTTGTGTTCCCGCACAGCCTGGATTAATTGCTTTGGGGAGTGACATTTCTCTGCGGACCACCCAAATTTTCTCACAGACCACCAGTGGTCCACGACCCACTGGTTGGCAACCATTGGGCTAAGTCATATAAACGTCACCTTATTCATGATCCGTGGAGCATGGATTTTGTTCCCTAGTTGGGTAATGAAACATCTGCAAGAAAACAGCCAAGTTCAAAAGGGCACCAAGCTCGGCTCTTACAAATGTTATCAGTATCTGGTTCATAGGTACCTTTTGGGAGGGTTGCTAAGCAATGGGTCATATAGGTCTTTAGAGACCTATAGAATTGCAGAATTGGGATATATAACAACCCAAAGACACTTGAATTCTTCCTCTCCTCCACGAGGAGGACAAACCAACCAGGGGTAAGTCAATTCAAGCGATGGGAACCGAGTCAGAAAAAGAGAGCTAAAAGTCAGGGCCACCTCTGGCCATCTTCCAGTAAGCCAGCACAGAAGGCTCACTAGAGGAAAACTGGAATACAGGTTAACAACAACCCATTTAGCGACCGTTCAAAGTCACAACCACCCTGAAAAAAGTGACTTAGGACCGTTTTTTTCACATATACAACCATTGCAGCATTCCCACGGTCACCTGAAATCTGGACGCTTGGCAACCGGTTCGTATTTATGACTCTTGTTGTGTCCCGAGGTCACACGATCCCCTTTTGCGACCATACGACTAAGCAAAGTCAATGGGGGAAGCCAAATTCACTTCACAACCGCGTTGCTAACGTAACAACTGCGGTGATTCGCTTAACAATGGTGGCAAGAAAGGTCGCAAAATGGGCAACACTCGGCTGTCTCGCTTAGCGACAGAAATTTTGGGCTCAATGATGGTCATAAATTGAGGACTACCCGTACTCTTTTTTTTTTTCTTCTTCCACCAAGAACTTGCAAAGATCTCGGTTTCCTGTGGCCGAGAAAACCCAGGGTCACTGGTAGGGGAAGCATGAGAGTGGGGAGTCCCAGAGTATCACTCCTCCCGCTTAGTCACAGGACTCCGATGGCTATTCCCCCTCTTCAGTCGCAGAATCAGTGTGGGGTATTCGAGAAGATGCTTGGCTTTGAGTAGGAGACACCAACTCTCGTAAACTTGAACTTTGATGTCCACATTCCTAGTCTAAGATAATAATCCACAGCACATTGTCAGTGGCGGGATTCAAAATATTTTACTATCGGTTCTGTGGGCATGGCTTGGCTTGGTGGACATGGCAGAGGAAGGATACTGCAAAATCCCCATTCCCTCCCCACCCCACTAACCTGCTTTCCAGCTCCGTTCTCCTGTGCGGGGCAACCAAAGGTGTCAAGCCCGAAATTGAATTTATGTGTAGCCATTTTAGTTAGGATTAGTATATATTCTTTTTCTTACTTTCTCTATGGCCGCCGGGGGGGGGGGGGGAAGAGTTTCAGGCTTGCCGGGGGAAGGAGTGGAGATAAGAGTTGTTTAGGCTAGGTGATTCTTCTTCCCGTGGGAAAATGAGCTGTCCGTGCTTAGGTCCCTTGAGGTGGAGATTTATGACATCAAGCAACGTTGAATTACTTCTATTGGAGAATGTGACTTTGGGGGGGTTGTTTCTAACTTTTAATATTGTGGGGCAATTCTGGGTTGGGTCAGATCTGGAATTACCGTGGACTTTGGCAATCTGATGCTTTCCTAAATAAAATAAATTGCTTTGGAAGATGGACTTTGTTCTTTTCTTTTTAAATGGATTTCATCACTTGGAAACTTGACATTATTCCGGAAACCTGACAGAGGACCCAGCCAATTAGCTGGAACTTGGGAGACATAGAATAGATGGGGGCGGGGCCAGTCAGAGGTGGTATTTGTTGGTTCTCCAAACTACTCAAAATTCCCGCTACCGGTTCTCCAGAACCAGTCAGAATCGGCTGAATACCACCTCTGCACATCGTCCACAAATTGGCAGTTGTGTCCACAAGAGCAAACCCAGCACACTTCAGGCCGCATTCAAAGGCTGCCATTTTAATTTTTTTTGAGAGCCGCCTCCTCCTCCCCCAACCCTAATGACTCACTGCGCCATACCCATAAAAATTTCAATTGTGATGTTTATAATAAGCAGTCTCCAACTTTTGTCACTTGGTGGCCCGGCGAGGGAAGAGGGGAACAAAGCAGTGATCTTTTGCACACGTATGCGTGTAGTTCGACTTGCACAATCGGTGGGCCGGAGCACAAGCACATGTGTGTGCAGATGATTGCACAAGTTGAGCTGCATGCACCTACGTACGGGCACATTTGCACAAGTTACGTGTGTGCTTAACACTGGCGTGGCCTGGTTGCAAATACGCCTTGATCTGTTAGTGGGCCCCGGCCCCGGGGGTTGAGGGACCCCTGATTTATATTAAATTGCTTATTTTGATAGCAGACTTCAGTTGTGATTTATTCTGCCTATGGTAAACTACTAGTTGTTCTTCAGAGCTGTGTGGTTCAGTATAAAAGCACTTGAAATCCATAGATAAAACAATTCAGAGGAATTGTCTTGTGTAAATGAGCTTTACTTCCATTTATTTTTTTCTATAATCTACCACCATGATGGCGAACCTTGTGCAAGCACACGAGCCTTAGCCAAATTTACCTGCACTGCGCATGTGCGCGCCTCCCAGCTGATTTTCGGCCCGTTTGAGGCCTTTTTCGCCCTCACAGAGGCTCGAGAGAAGCCTCTGCAGCCTCAGGAGGCTGAAAAATGGGCCTTCTGGAAATACCGGAAGTGCCCCAAAACGGGCCCGTTTTCAGCCTCACAAGGCTGCAGAGGCATCCCTCAAGCCCCCAGGAGGGCGAAAATGGCCTCCCCCAGCTCCAGAGGCCCTCTGGAGGCTGAAAACAGCCACTTCCGGTATTTCCGGAAGGCCCATTTTTTGGCTTCCAGAGGCTGCAGAGGCTTCCCTCGAGCCCCCAGGAGGGTGAAAATGGCTTCAAACGGGCTGAAAATCGGCTGGGAGGTGCGCACACGCACAGTGCAGGTAAGGGGCCATGACGGAGGTGTTGCGTACGCATGCGCAGGAGCGGCAGGGCGCATTGTATTTTTAGGTGCCGGCACGCATCCGCTTTCAGCACACCACAACAAAAAGGTTCGCCAGTCACTGATCTACCAAATGTCATTTTCCTACAAAAAAAGTGGCAGAGAGGGTTCTACCTGTTTGATCATTTTCCTTATGAAATATATAGAAAACCACCTGGGAAAATGTATAAGGTAGGTAGTCCTCGACTTACAATGGTTCACTTAGTGACCATTCAAAAATGCAACAGTACCGAAAAAAGTTGACTTATGGCTGTCTTTCCACACTTATATCCTTTGTAGCATCCCCATGATCCTGGGTTCGAAATGCAGGTGCTTGGCCACCAACTCATACTTATGACCGTTGCTGTGTCCCCCAAGGTCTTGTGGTCCCCTTTTGTGACCTTCTGACGAGCAAAGTCAACGGGGAAACCAGATTCATTGAACATCAAAGTTACTAACTTAACAACCCGAGGATGCCGCAACCATCATAAATATGAGTCAGTTGCAAAGTGTCGGAATTTTGATCAGGTGACCATAGGGA